ACAAGAAAGGGAAGCAAGTCTTACCGACTGTAGTAGCCAGGCTCCTTTGTCCAATGTAGTTATAGAGGAAAAGCTGCAACATGAACAAGACAAGAACACATATCACTTTTGCTTTAATCTCCTTTTTTTTGGTTCAAAGCATCAGCTGTATCCACACATACATGACAACCCAAAGTTGTTTCTCTACTTCTTTCCTTCAATAATAACAACAGAAATTAAACTAGTATAATTAAGTCACTACATGCATTGTCAACAGACAAAATAGTGTTTATGATTAACACAATGTGACACAATCAGGCTTTGGCAGCAGGAGATTACAAACACTTCATCTGTAGAATGTCTGGAATTGCTGGATTTATGAGACGACGCTCACCATCGGGGCCGCAGTGAGCAACATGACGCAGCAGGTCGTCGCTCTGCCGCCCGTGTAGTCGGACACGAGGCCCGCCGTGATGCCTCCTGTTGACACACAGCACGTCGGATTTCCCAATGATGTATAATTAAACAGCAACGGCAGTAGTAGATATTAACTTCAAATTAAGGCTTTTTGTTTTCCTTCCTACGGGCCTGAACTACAGAGGCGTGTTTGCATCAGATATTTTGTATTTCTTTTTCCTTCCAGTCAGATCGTCATATGCTAAATCAAAGCTTACCCACGATTCCTCCTACATCAAACAGCGTCGACATGTCTCCTGCCGCCTTTGCATCAAAGTGTGCTGAAAATAAAAAAAAATACAACTTCAGTCAATTTCAATTCAAGTGGATGAAACTACAATGTATGATACTCTTGTCGTTTAAAAATATAAATACTGACCAACGTTGGAGATGTAGAGAGGAAGCCAGTACAGGAAGGTGTAGCTGACCAGCTTGGCAAACAGCAGGCAGAGAGAAAACTCAACCACTCCCTTGAGAGAGACAATAAAACCACGTCAAAAACTTTCCTGCAAGGCCTTAATTATCAGTGATATGATTCACAATCAACCGGCCTTCTTTAGTGGGGGGGGTGTAACGATACGACGAGACAAACCTTTGACCCCAGGCTCAAAATAAAGCGAATCACTGTATGAATCCAAGTGAGAAGACATCCTTTCTATCAGTTTGGCTCTACTCGTCCTGCAATAGGATTATGTCCATGGAAGACGTTTGGATGGTGAAAAAGAGGCGTCTCCACTCACAGGGATACTCAGAGCCCCGCTGAAGCTGATGGCCTCCGTGTGCTGCTCAACAGCCTCTGCGGGCTCGGCGCTGATGGAACCGTAGGCCACTCGGTCGACATGGGACGAGTTATTGGTGACAGACTCGGTCTCGTCGCCGTCGCTCTCCTTCTCACTCTGAAAACAGAAAGCGGAGTCTCGTTACGGACCGGCAGAGTAGTTCTGTCATAAACACGTCAATCTCCACCTGTAAGCAGAGAAAGCGGAGCTTCTCATGCTGCCGCACAGCTAATTGATTGTTTAGATGTAGAAAATGCAAATATGGGTACTATTAGAAGTAGTCAGAAGGAACTGGGCAGGTAGAGGTGTTTCTTTTACTCACGTGATGCTGGGGAGGAGTGCAGTTGATGTGTTCGGGTTCTGAAAAAGAGAGGAATTAAAAAACAAAAACTATATTTGACAAGATAAGGGAACGCTAAAACCACCACGAGTCATTCTCAC